TACCTTACCATACCATACCTTACCTTACTTTACCTTACCATATCTTACCATATTTTACTATACCTTACCTTACCTTACCTAAATCTGAGAAGCCCTTATTTATATACTTATATTACTGTATTAGCAAAATATACTTAAAGTATTAAAAGTAAAATCATGCAAAACACTGCAGCTTGATTCAGGATGTAGTTTTTGGTTTCAAAGACTGAACATTATACATTCATCATGAATTTCCCCTAGGGGATAAATAAAGTAAGTATGTATGTATGTATGTATGTATGTATGTATGTATGTATGTATGTATGTATGTATCTATCTATCTATCTATCAATCTATCTATCTAATGACTGTCTTATTAGACTGCATTAGTTTAGCTACGTCTATTTTGTATAGTGGTGGGAAGTTTACCTACCCTAACACATCATGTTTTGTATGTGCACTCTTAATTTGAAAAGCAAGTAGCTACTAACTGTGGCTGTGAAATTAATGCAGTGCAGTGGAGTAGAAGAAGAAGAAGAAGAAGAAGAAAATAGCGTAAAATGGAAATAAATAAGTAAATTGCAAGCACCTAAAAACTCTACTTTAATGCAGTAGTTGAGTTAATGTACTTCCCACCACCCCTGCCAAAAATGTACACACAAGGAAGGCGTGATTTGAACTGGTCCATCCTGATGAAGAGATAACAAAACACATCACTGACTTGGATCAGTTTGTTAACAAAGAACAATGCACTTGCAAAACAGATGCCTCCATGTTTAGGCTAAACCCACACTGACAATACGAGCTGTCACAAAACATATCATATACTCTCCACTGAAATCTGATTCTGGTTCAGTACATTCTTAGACAAAGAGTCAAACCCACAGTACAGTTTTCGTTTCCCAACATCAAAACAATATGTGTTACTAAGGTCAGATTTAAAAAAAAAAAAAGAAACTAATGTTTTGTGAATTTTGTATCTATGTGCGATGTAAGATGTATGATTGACGGCCTACACTGTAAGTATGGACACCATATTTGTTTTATTTTTTCATCGTTAATACAAAACTGAAAGCACTGGTTAAAGTTGGGGAAACAGAAACCTAAAGCAACCAACAGAAATATAGAAACCCACTTCATTAAATCTCTCTACCATTGTCATTTTGATGTTTATTTGTTTGTTTCTTGCATTTTGTTGGTAATAGTTATTTTTATTGTAAATTTGGCACTGCTTTTATTATTCACCCTGCAAAAGAGAACTGCTGTCACTGAACCACCTAGTGTTAAAAAACATTGGATGTATTAATGAATATGCCACAACTTAACAAATACAAATAATTGTTTTATCAAGTTTATTTAATTTGTGCAAAAGTTTATACAATCCTTTGACCAGTGAACCCGCACAACCTCGGAAATAAACATCATCTTGTGGTAATGTGTTTAACTTTCTTCACAAGTGTAAGGAAAAAAAAATAAATCAAACAAATGTAGACCAATATATAATGTAAAGAAAATAGATAGATGTAATCGTAATATCCTGGTTATAGAAAAGCAACAGGTGTCTGTTCAGTTGTGTAATATCAGTGATGGATGTATAAGGTAGGTAGGTGTGTTTGCAGCAGTAGCACTAATTGTTCCTTATGTTTCCACTCTGGTAGTAGTTTACCTGTTAGGTAACAACTGTTGCAAAAATAAGTTTCCGACCGTTTCAGGAACATAGCACCGGTGAGCCCAGAACACTGTGAAGCACATACCTGACGAAAATACTATGCTGTCAAAGAAAGCTGTTTACGTAATCATATTGATGGTGCCGGCAGGCTATTGGCTGCTCTCAATGTATTTACATTATTGGCATATATGTTTGTTTTTTTAAATTTCAATACAAAACTGGAAGCACTGGTTAAAGTTGGGGAAACAGAAACCTAAAGCAACCAACAGAAATATAGAAACCCACTTCATTAAATCTCTCTACCATTGTCATTTTGATGTTTATTTGTTCGTTTCTTGCATTTTGTTGGTAAAAGTTATTTTTGTTGTACATTTGATGATATTACAGGTTAAATGTGAGCTAACTGAAGGCCATCTCTGCTAATGTACGCTAAGATGCCTAGATGATAAGGCGTTTTCCTCCAAAGAAACTTAACAACCTGTAACATGCGGCCCATTCATGGTGAGCCAAGTTCCTGATCCTAATCTTAGCCAGGGCACAGGTGATGGGACTGAGTCCAACTTCCATGTAGTCTTGGGGAGAAAAAATGCAACAGCTTGATATGTGTTTAAATTTTACTTTGTGTCAATATACATGACCCAGGCGAGGACCGCAAGCTGAAACGCGTTGGTCAGACAGTTAAGTTTTTCTTAACATTGTTCCCAGTGTCATTAGTTTTGCAGGTATTTAGTCATAAACCAAACAACAACTATGTTTTTTTGAGAGGCCTGTCAAAAGCTCCTTCAAATGCTGCCTTCAGTATCACTTTGCAGCCCTCAGCATCCTACAATTTACTGAATCAACTGGAACCATTCAACATGTTTGTTTTTCTGTTTTTAAAAAAAAGCTTTACCTGTCACCTGTTGAGATGACAGATCAAATACCATAAGAGTGATGTGTTGACAAGGCATGCATTTTCTACACATGTAGTAAATCATAAAGCACTGACAGCAGAATGATCTGCATTCATTTATGTGTGTGTTGATGCAGCACTACCAGTTTCTGACCTCACCCACATGCCCCGAGCATTGAGAAAAGAGCTGAGCTGAGCTGAGCTGAGGGAGCGCAGCCACAAAGCTGCAGGGACTGTCCCTTTAAGTAGGCGATGTATTCATTAATCACGCACGCCACCTGGTGAGTGCTTTCATTCAAAGCAGCTGCAACTCAGTCATGGTGGCTACAGTGGAAACAGGAAATGGACAAAACACATTTATAGAATAAACTCAAGCATAACTTCATTTTTAAATTTTTTTATTTGCAGATTTTAACTGACTCTGCAACTGACACCTGCACCTGCAATGGTTGGATCTGAATGAGTCCACATCAAAATAGCAAAAATGTCCAACTGTATCTATGGCAGTCTGAATCATTTCTTCTCCAGATGTTGCAATTTAAGGTTTTGCTTTCTTTTCATGGTCGCAACCTGTTTTATTTTCCCTATACTAAGCATTAAAGGTCCCTTATTTCACATTTTTCCTGTATTTTATTTGAAGTGTTGATCCATAAGAAGATATATTTGTGGTTTTAAGAACCAAAAACCAGTGTAGTTTCACATCTCCTCTCTCAGGTTTCTCTCTGGAGCTCTAGTAACAACAGGTTGGTGAGCCAATCAGAGAGAAGAGGCTCTGAGCCTGTCTTCTGATTGGCTGACTGTTCTCTGGAGTGATCCAATAAAATATAGCAGATGTCAGGTAAAACACTCAGAGAAACCAAATCCTGCAAGGCTGGATGGAGGGTCCAGGTGGGCGGGGCTTGTGGCACGGCTGTGAGAGGTGACTGGCTCTTTGTGACATCACAAAGTTACAGATGTCCTGACGGTTTGTTTTAAGGCTCAGTTTCTGAATACATATATTTCTCTGTGAACTGAGCGTTTTTTTACTTTCACAGTATTAATATAGAACCTACTTTATAATCAAACAACACATGGACATCTACCTTTATACAATAAAACTTTCAGGTATGTTTTTTTTTTATCACATTTTTTTCCAATTCCTGAAAATACAACATCATAGTTTTATATGTTTATTTTAGTGTTTTTTGTTTTTTTGTAAGACTTCTGCTTTTATTATTCTGTGTATAAAGGACACCCTGCAAAAGAGAACTGCTGTCACTGAACCACCTAGTGTTAAAAAACATTGGATGTATTAATGAATATGCCACAGCTTAACAAATACAAATAATTTTTTTATCAAGTTTATTTAATTTGTGCAAAAGTATATACAATCCTTTGACCAGTGAACCCGCACAACCTCGGAAATAAACATCATCTTGTGGTAATGTGTTTCCTTTCTTCACAAGTGTAAGGAAAAAAAATAAATCAAACAAATGTAGACCAATATATAATGTAAAGAAAATAGATAGATGTAATCGTAATATCCTGGTTATAGAAAAGCAACAGGTGTCTGTTCAGTTGTGTAATATCAGTGATGGATGTATAAGGTAGGTAGGTGTGTTTGCAGCAGTAGCACTAATTGTTCCTTATGTTTCCACTCTGGTAGTAGTTTACCTGTTAGGTAACAACTGTTGCAAAAATAAGTTTCCGACCGTTAGATAGATAGATGTAATCGTAATATCCTGGTTATAAAAAAGCAACAGATGCGTCTTAAAATAACAAATGCCAAGAATAGACCCATGCACAATCACACTTTGTACAAACATGAGAAAATGTCAATAAAAACCTTCATGATTAGTCAACGTATGTAGTCAATGAATAATTCAAATATCTCAAAGATATTGACGTGAACTTTGATGTAAAGCAGTGACAAACAATCCTTAAATCACAAAAACATCTTGTCCACTTTGACAAAACGCCATAGTTAGAAATAGCAAAAGAATTAAACCAAGCAAAATCAAATCAGTGCCTCAAATTACACGTTATTAAAATCCATAAATAATCAATTGTGTTTGAAAATTTTTGGCCTTTAGTTTCCCCCTGAAACCTTGAATTAATCTGTATATTTATTTATCTGTATTTGTTTTTCCTTTTGCCACATTTGCCTCAACAAATTGCATTTTTATTAAAAGCTAGATTTTTATAAACAGCTGGGCACTGTAGTTTTTCTCGTGCTTTTGTTGAGCACTATTTTCAGGAGCGAACTGATACACATCTAGTGCGTTAGTACTGAGAGCAGCAGGATGGTGTCTGTTGGATCAGCTCAAGATAAACTACAGTGCCTATGTTCATCCTAATGAAGCAACGTGTCGCTCAGTGCAACAGTGTGTTTCATTGATGACTCTTTAGTTGTAGTTGGACAACGGAGCTCGATGGCACAACAGGACCACGACGTATGACTGTGTCCCCTCCTCTTCCCGTTCAAAGTCTTGATCTCTCTTCAGTGAACCCTCCCTCCACAGGACAGATCACCAGCGGAGCGGTGTTCTTCCCGTTGTCATGAAGGCAGGGGTTTAAGTACGGGTACAGAGGCTCAGTGAAGGTGCACCCGCTGTAGGTATAGATGTGAGTCTTTGCTTCTGTGTTGTAGAAGGACACCGATCCTTCCTCGTAGTCCAGGAAGATGCCTACCTTCTGAGGGGTTTCCTCGAGGTGGAGGGTGATGGAGGGGCCGGCGCAGGCGCTCAGACTGCCTCCTTTACGCCTGCAGATCGCCCAGTAGCCGCTGTCAGGGCGCACCGTGATGGCCCCCTTTCTGTTAATGGACTCCCTGGCCACGCCCAGATCCCAGTCTGTTTTATCTCCAACCTGAAACACAATGCGCAGGATTATTAATTTTCTCTTTTGTTGATCTCAAATGCACCATGTGGTGTTTAGGCAGTATGGTCTGTGCAGCCAGCCTGTCGTGGCTCGTAGTTTATTGGATTTTGTGACAGTGAATAAATCTGTTTGTTTGCTTATGTTTCTCAAGAACATGAATATGTGGATATTTAAGATCTTTTTTAATTAGCTGAGCTGCAGGAGAAAAATCACACGGGAGTCGACACAGGACATGTTTTTGGTATCCTGACGTCCTGCAAGATTAGAGATACGTTTGTAAAGTGGGATTGAAATTTATTCCAGGTCCCTGATGGAGTCCTCTTCCACATTTCCTTCGTCCTATTTAGGTTACAACCAGTTCACACAGTGCAGGGCTGAAGGCCAGGTTCATGGGTGCACATGACTTCATCTGACACGGAAACAAACAGATTCCATCTAAGAGCCTGCGGGCCGATTCCGATTCACACAGGAAAAACATGATTTAATCTACGTTTAATGATTTTCATATAAAGCGGTCATTCGAGATCATACTGATGTAGATGGAACATCAGTCTCTTAATAACCGCGTTGCACAACTTAAATATCTCCATCCGAGCTAATTCAAAATAATCCAGTTTGTGGCATTTTCAGAATTGTACAATTTCTGGTGGAGATTTTCCCGCTTGTTGTAAGTGCTAACACTTTATTTTACAGGTTTATTATTACCTTGAAAAAAAATCTCCATTTTATTCATTATTGGAAACTTTTTTTCTCCATTTATATTGAGTTGCACCCTGTTCTCCCCTGTTGTGTGTGTGTAGGTGTGTATGTGGGCGGGGCTTCACTCTCCCTGGCTCCACTCCACACCTGCAGTCAATCATCTCATCAAGCTCTCAGCTCTCACCTTTGTTTGTGTCTCGTCTCGGGGCCAGACATAGTTACTAAACACTGTCACACGTGCACAGAAGAGAGTGACACAAACAGTTGACTGGACTTGATTAACTGGCCACTGTCTCATTTTGTCCTATAATTACAGAGTAATTTGGTAGTAATTATATGTTGTCATGCCCCGCTCTGTTTCTTAAGGTCATGTCATCCTTGTTTCTCACGTGTTGTCTCGTTTTAGATTCCTTACTTCCAGCCCTTGTGTTTTCTGCTGCTCTGATTGTCTGCCCCGCCCTTAATTGCTTTCACCTGCGTCTCTCTACCTTCCTCCTTTTCTGTTTAGTGTCTGTGTTTTTTTCCATAACAATACTGATTAGCATCTAATTAGCATCCTTGAAAAACTTGAAACAATGTTAGTAATTGACCTGAGCTCCTACCTGAACTACCCAGTAGTGTCTCCCAGAGGTGAAGCTTTGCCTCCCCAGAACGGAGACGCAGGAGTCGAACCTGCGGGGGTCGGCGGGGAGCACGAGTCTCCTCTGCTGGTTGTTGATGCACACCTGTGGATCATCATCATCATCATCATCATCAACAAAAAAAATATTTTACATCATGTACATCATCTGTGATGTTTCCATTCCAGTGGATTCATGATGTTATCCTGTCATGATGCTCCCTATTAAGGTTCATCACCAGTATCTGGATTTCTCTGTTTCAGCTCTCTCATATTTTCACATCTAATTATAGGAAGACACTGAACCTCAGTTTCTGCAAAGTGTTGCACAGCATTGTCCTGAAATACAAAATCTGTCACATAATTCAGTAAGTAATCAGTACTAGACCTTTTTTCCATCAGGGGACAGAAGCAGCCAGCCTGCCGCAGTCACTGGATCCAGAGTTATATCCACTGGAGAGAAGAACACAACATGCAGATGTGAAGTTTAATGTTTACTGTTCACAGAATTACAGGAGCTTTTTGAAGTATTTAAAGTATTGGAATCCATCGCTCGCACCAGCCTCTCTTCAAAACGACTAAACTGACCGGGGTCTTGATTCCTGAGAGTTTCAAAAGGGGCAGAAACTGTCTTCAATGTGTTCAACATAATAATCAGAGGAGATTAACTGTCTTCCTGAATTTCTTCTGAACTTGTACACAATCATTACCAGCTGTGACAGTGTGGCTGTAATTCCTTTCACCTTGAGTCTGTGTGTGTGTGTCATCATCATAGAAGTGTGTGTGTCATCATGGCAAAATGTCCTGGAGACTAACACAGAATCAGTTTTGAGTTCTTTGGCAGGTGTTTATTTGTCTCTCTGCCTGAAGGAGTTATAATTTTGTCATGGCGATAGCATCATGTAAGGTGCAGTCACCAAACTTTAAAGGTGTGTAGATGAGATTAAAATGAAGAAGATGCGTGTGGTATGACCCACTGAACACTGAGCTCATATAGTCTTTGTTTACACAGTGAAATCCAAACAACTTACCAGCATATTCATTTGCCTTGTTCACTTCTGCAAAAGAAAGAAAACAGCTGCCGATTGATGATTTTTGACACACAGATAGCAAATTATAACTTTGCGGAGGTGTTACGTCCTACAAAGACACTATCACGGCAACAACAATATCATGTCAGAATTTACCGACCCTCTGCACACAATTTCTTTTCAAGTTCATGGCAGACGTCCACCAGCTTGGAAAACGTTCTCCTCACGGTCCCTATGTAGATGTCGGAGTGGAGTCTGACCTCGGACCAGTCCCTGCTGTACTGTGGAGCACTAAGGGAGGGGACACTCTAAAACAGAATGACATTGACACACATTGTTCATGAGCACAATAAAATATATTTGAGCCAACAGGTCGTCTGCGCAGCAGGTTATTATGACCCATAGTTTTGTTCTTAGTGGCCGTAGTAAATTATTACAGGTGAAAATGGAAATGTAGTATAGTACAGTAGTGTCCATGTTAGGAGGAAGTTGGGGTGGATGGATGTGTCAACAAAAAACAGGTAATATGACGCTGGAGAGCAAGTGTTGGATTCCCATGTGAAAGTAGAACTTTAAGTCGTTATTATTGTAACCATGACAACAAGGATCATGTGATGTAATGTTAAGGAAGCACTTATTTTACACAAACACCACAATCTTTTCCTAAACCTAACCAAGCCATGAGCGTTAATTATTAATAATTATTTACGTCGCTGTTAGGACAGTTAGTCTGTGAGTTTATTATTGTAACTGGTTGTCCAGTACACCTGTCACCGTAGGGGCGCTATTTTCAAGAGACGCTCCTATGGATCATATCAAAGGGTTGAAAGAAAACATATATATATGGTTGCTCAGGTGGAGGACTGTTTTGGGGATGGCACATAAATTCAAAATGCGTTAATACAAGCTTAGTTGTACAGTTGTGGATGATTCTTGAAGCCCTTTTGAAGCACTCCCTGTTTTTGTGGCTACATATCCAAGTATCAACCTTGGTAAAGCACAACACTTGATTCACCGGTATTTATTTTATCCATCTTGTATAATAAATCTTTGGACTGGACAATGACATATCTTATTTTGTGTTTTCCCGACAGTGGCGAAACTAGTCTCAGGAAAGGTTAGCACACTTAAATACCGACTAAATAGCAATATCCTGTGTGCAGGACTGACCTGTAGAATGTGAAGAGGGTCCTCAATGTTCACCAGGTATTGCAGCTTGCTGCGTCTCTTCTGCAGTTCATCAGTCTCTTTCCTCAGCTCTCTCAGAAACTCCTCTGCCCTCCTCTCCAATACCTCATGCTTCTGCTGGATGTCCTCGACGAGCAAAGCCTGGTTTCTCTCAATGTCACTTACCACCATTGTGAAGACCTGAGCGCTTGAGCATATCTCTCTGTCTTTCTCTGTCTGCAGATGTGCATAAATGAATACATCAAAGAATACAATTATATTACAATGTCAAAACGGCGTCACTGGATGAAGCTGAAGCTAGAAAACATAACAACTGAAACTTACTTTGCTTTGCTCCACTGACATTTTGATCTCCTCAATCTTTCTGAGTCTGGCTTGGATGGTCTGTTTAATCTCTGCTTCAGTTCTCTCGATCTGACTCTGTAAAGATTGAAGGTGAAATCATTCATTTCTATATTTGATGCACTTCATAAAAGAAGCAATACATTATCTGATATAATTAAGAATGAAATTAAACCTACAGCTATATAAACTGAGCATTTTCCTTTGTGGTTTCCACATTGTATTTTAGTCAAACAGGCAGAAAATATAGTATAAACATACACAAAATGACACTGTAGGTATCGTGCATTATTATGACACAATGCACAAGATAAAAGAAGATGAAACACCACTCTTCCTAACCTTAATCTTCTTGCCCTCCTTCTCAATAGGGACAGTGTAATGGTTTATATGCTCCGTCTCAGTGCATCTCACACACACAGGCATCTGGTCGTTCTTGCAGAATAAATCCAGTGGCTTGTTGTGAATTCTGCAGAGGTGACTGAAGGTGGCTGGATCTGTCAGCCTGTGCATCATCATCACCGGATCCTTCATATGGGGTGTCAGGTGAATTTCACAGTAAGACACCTGGCAGGTGAGGCACGACCTCACTGCTACTGACTTGTACTCGTGGCAGATGTCACAGGTAACATCGGGAGTATTAAGTTGTTTTACGTGACGTCTCCTTTGGAGTATCTTGTGTAACGATCCTTTTATCCTAAGGGTTCTGATTTAATACAGATGTGGGTTAATTTGAATCAAAGATTATGCCTAAGTGCCAAAAATAGTGGAGTGAAAAGACAAGAGGTGCATTTGATTTTGCAAGACACTGTTAAAAAAAAAGAAATGAACACACATAAAAATGATATCAACATACTTTTTAAATCCCACAGTGATGTCTCTTAAGCCTTTGTTGATCCTGAGTTCTGGACGGATTTTGAAAATCTCTTTGCAAAGTGGACACTCTGGCTTAGGTTTCGTATCCCAGAACAGTTTGATGCACTCCAGACAAAAATTGTGCCCACACGGGATGGACGTAGGGTTTTTGTAGGTATCCAGACAGATGCTGCACTGAAACTGCTCCTCAGACAAAATAGTGGCCATGTTCCTGACAGAAAAATGACATTATGTTACCAGGTATTTAAAACAACAACACATACATAAACATATATACATAAAACAAAATACATACATACATATACATATATATATATGAAATAAATAACGAATAATATCGGCAGAAAGGGAGGGCTATTTTGTCAAACAAGGTGATGCAGATGATTTGTTGAGCTAAAAAATGTGAAATCTGATGAAAAATGAAGGAAAAAGTTGCACCACAGGTGAAATCACAGAAGCGCTCAACGTTTTGAAGCGAATGAAAGTAGGAGTGTCAGAATGTTCTCAAGGTGCAGTTCACTTAGGTCGGTGGCAATTACTTCTAATTTTAGGCGTTTAAATCTGACACGGGAATGTAGTAGCGCTACATGTTGTTTTACAAGGCATAGTATGTGTCCCACATTTGTTTTCTCGCTGATACACAAGCTCAACAAAAGCGTAAAAATATATTTAAAACAGGCAACAACAACAAAAGAAAAAGAACCTCAGATAAAAAAATATTAATGTTTGCAACATTTTTAATCCTCCTCAGATTGGTTAAAAGTAAATTTCTGTTTTAGTTTTTAAAAATTTAAAGATTAACAAAACGTTATTTACATTTACATTTATGGCAAAAGGCAGTTTACCTTAAAGCAGAAGCTACTGATTGTGTAAATTCTCATTTTCTCCCCTCTCTGCTCAGTGTAGATCATGTCTTACCTGTGTGGATGGAGGACGGATACTCAACAGATGTGTTGACTGCTGTTGTATGAATCTGTTCAGAAGAGACTCCTTCCTATGAGGACATGTGATGCAAGTTCCTCCCAGAGTGACGTATGTTTAATAGTTAACAGGCATTTCTTGTTCTCCTTCTTTGAATTCACAAAGCATTTTAATTGTCCTTGTAGCTGATGTTTCTGGGATTGTACCTGAGCATGTCCTTATAGAAGAAGGAGCTGTATAAGCAAAAGCAGGTGCGGAATTAATTATAATGTTATCAACATGGTTTTAATTACTGCCTCCGGTACGCCTGGTACCGGAGGCATATGACATCACCTTCATTCCAATGTTTCCGCCACGGAAAGCACACCTAGTAAACATGGTGATCAAATAAAAAACAGACACGTGAGTATCTAAAGAACTCATTTTAAACACAGTATAAATATTGAGGCATTGAAGTGGGAACAGTGTGAATGACAAAATAATCTCTACTAAAATAAACCATTTCTTTGTTTAAGCTTTCAGCTGCTTCTCATTCTCTTAATCAGTAAATAGAGAAGAGCCATGGTTATATTTGTAGTTGGTTAAACCTGCAATGACATTTTTGAACATTGATGTAAACATATTGTCTTACATTTGGAGTACAGTTAAAGTCCTGGACTCATTCTCTTTTTGCTCTGTTTTTGTCTCTACCAGCTCTGTCTCTGTAGCTGCTAAACGTTTGCCCATGTTCACCTGCCAGTTGCTGACTGTATCCGACGGTCGTTAGGTTTCCTGCCCGCTGCAGCTGGAATTGATGCTATAAGAGCAAAATCGCGGCCGACGGTAATCATGAAGCTCTGTAAAGCTGAGGAGAGCTGCAAACTCAGGTGATAGTTCTCAGTAGTTTCATCACTGTGATACTGTTACATTGTTTTTACATTATTTTCCTTTGATACGTTGTAGGATGGTATGGTACACCACTTCTTGTGTTAGCACTGACTGTTGCCACGTACATTACACTAATAAACTTGCCAGCTTCACTTACTTGGAGCATGATTTGTGATATTACCTCCAGATATGTCACTTATTGATCCAAGTTAGCTAGAAGTTTATTCACACATGTGCTTTGGCTGAGGTGTTTGTGTTGGCAGACCTTTAGCAGCTCTGACAGTCTGGTGATGGGTAAATTGAGATAATAAGCTACCGGAGTACACAGCCACATTTATTACTGGGTGGAGTACACAATAGATGTACCATGTGTTTGTATGCATTAAATTTTTTGTCAACTGCTCTTTGATAGTTCAGGTGACCTTTGGAAATATGTGGTGAAACTAGACATGCTGCTCGAAGTCTGACATGATATCAACAGAGTTTGTGTCTTTATGACCCAGAATCGTGTGAGTGCTTCATGCAGAGAGGTGCGTTTACGTTTATGTGTTTACAAGTTCAAACTCTTGACTGCAGTCTCTTCAGGTGGAAGAGGGTGGGCTGGATAGGTGAGTGTAAAAGCATGTGACTGCCATTGTAGAGTCAGAGTCTGGAGGTTTTCATGGGTCCGTGTGGTTCCTGGTAAACGAGATGCGCCGCGGGACTGGTCCAAGCTTTTCCCCCCTGTATTTCCACAGATCTCGTGTATCACAATAAGTAATACTGAATCGCTCTGATCGCTTGGTGAGTCATCATCACTACAGATGAATGTGCTTTTTTCACGTGAGACGGAGAGTATGATTTTCAACCACGTGATACTTGGCAGCCGAGCACGCCTAAGAACTGTGGCTAGCTTTTACAGTTCCACGTATCATGATTTGTGTGCAATGCCAACATTCGGTGCCAATGCAGGAAGCAATGTCCCAATCATGAGCCAAGGCAGAAAGTAACACTGCACTTCACATTTGCTTTTTTACTGACCATATTAATCATAATTTTCCCATTTTTGAACAGTCAGCATTGGTTTGTTTTTAAATCTAAAAAAGCAAACACAACCTAAACTCCTGCCTTAACCCTTTAATCTTACCCTTTAGTCCGAGTCTCTTCAATTTAACTAAACCTTAAACACAGTGGTGGCAGATCAGAAAGTCCTCATATAATCATGTTAGTATTGCTGCAGCATAAATTGCTAATATGTCTTGAGCAGCTAAAATGAAATGTATTAACAGCGTTTTACAGAATGTCACAAATGCTTTCAGTTTTTATGTTTGTTGTACACGTCAGAAAAAACGCTGGAGAAAAATAACAGTTATCAAATCAAATTAAATCAAGTTTATCTATAAAGCCCAAAATTACAAGTTTGTCCCCACAGGTTTTACATATAGCACCTTTCTATTCATTAGACCCTTGGTTTCAACAAGGACAACCAACCTTAATGAAAAAATATGTTGAATGCAATTGGCTTTTAATTTGGTGGTTTGCTAAGGTAGAGGCAACCAAAACTACTTGGTTATGGTAAAAAAAAAAAAAGAATAATAAAAGAAAGCAGCTTTAACTGTTGGTGTGATACAAGTTTTGTTCAATCAAAGTCAAAGACACTTTGTACACCTAACCTTATTTCAAGGACAATGAATTACGTGACGTGTTTGCAGTGAAGAATTTTGGTTAATGACAAAGATGTTGGAAACCATCTACGTACCTCAGAGATCTGAAAAGAGAATCGAGACGTGCTCTTCACGCCAGCTGAAACAACCTTATGAAACCCATGTCTGAGAAGCTGCGAGGCACGACTGTCACACTGCTCATAAATCACCTTACTTTCAATGACTTCACACGGACCGGCTCAGCACAGACACACCGCACCGGTGGGGGGTCAAATATGACAGGGTGTCAAGCATGCGCACACGGTGGGTGTTTTAAACACTGTTAAAAGGTTCATCTGTGGGATGTGAGAGAAACTGCGAAACCGCAGTAAGTGTTGGCACATCAGTCTAAACACACCCCAGTGCCAGACTGGTCCTATAATCAAATCATCACCTTCAACAGACAACAGCTAGCAGATTGGCACCCTGCGGGTCCCTGCAGCACCACACCCTGTGCTGAACATGAACGCTTTATATAGAGGAAGAAATTGTGTTAATTAAGATGAGACTTAGTTTTAGAGAAAGACTCTGGCCTAGAAAGAGAGGCACAATCAAAGACATGACAAAGATCCATAAGAAGATATATTTGTGGTTTTAAGAACGAAAAACTATGTCAATGTGGTTTTATATCTCCTCCCTCAGGCTTCTCTCTGGAGCTCTACTAACAACTGAGCCGGTGAGCCAATCAGAAGAGAGAAGGCTCTAAACTTCTCTTCTGATTGGCTGATTGTTTTAGGAGCGATTGAATAAAAATATAGATAAATACAGATTTCAGGTAAACACTCCAGGTGGGTCCAGGTGGGCAGGGCTTGGGGGGATGGCTGAGGGTGGCGAATGGTTTGTTGTGACATCACAATGTTACAGGAAGTCCCAACGGCTCGTTTTATGTGTCAATTTCCCTGTGGACTGAGTGCTTTGATACTTTCACAGTATTAATATAGAACCGAGACCTGCTTTATGATCAAACAACAAATGGACATCTCATGTTATACAATATGAGACCTTTAAAAGCTGACAACTATTTTCTTCAAGTCATACCTTCTGTAACAGGCACACTGCACATCAATGCCCAACTATTTTTTGTGGGATTAAAATGAAATTAAATGAATATCATAATCACCACTATCTCTAATAAATATACTAATCACTACACCTCTATAAGCTTTTAGGCAGTAAGCCATACAATGCAAGTGTTACTACAAAAAGAGAGGTGAATATTTAACATAAAGATTAAAGTAGTATTAAAGAAGTAACTGATTACTTTGGCCACAGACAAACACAATAATTCACTCACAGTCATCTGCCCTTATTAACTGTGGATTGCGTCACAACTGCAAACACACACTAGTCGATTGTTCGCAGCAAATTGCTAATTAATCTGTACTGTGTCATTCTTGATACATAATGAACACATGTACACACTCAGACAATGTCGGGTTCAGTGCAGCGTAATTAGAGAGAAGAAGCAAAACCACAGGAGAAAAAACTCCACAAGTAAAACCCCTTTAAAATTTTAGCAAAAACATGTACCTGAAATATGTAAAGTAAAATCATATGAAATGAATCAGTGGTATTTTATCATTTGAGCATTGTATTTGCTACATTCACATCAGTTGTGTGTAAAATCTTAATGCAGATAAGTAACAAGTAACAGTAGCTGTCAAGTAAATGAGTTTCCTTGCAACTATCTCTGGACAACTGATGTTACCATCTATGGCAGAAAATATTTGAGACCTT